TTTTTTTTTTTTTTAAATTTTGTTTTAATAGATAAAAAGATGGCCTATCACAAAGTGAATGCAGACCAGAGAGCACAGGGGCACTCTCCATACCTTGACAATGATGAGCTCCAAGCCACAGCACTGGAACTGGAATGGGACATGGAAAAAGAACTAGAGGAGCCTGGCTTTGACCATTTCCGACTGGATGGTGCGGTCCAGCATCACTTGGGAAACTCACAGAGCCCTGACCTTGATCTCGAACCCATCCAGCCTTCATCTTCTCCAAAGGGAAGATTCCAGCGGCTTCAGGAAGACCCCGACTACATTTCACACTATACAAGACAGGCACCAAAGAGCAACCGCTGCAGTTTTTTTCAGATACTGAAAATATTTTGCACTGCTTTGATTTTATTTATTTTTGGAATTGTGATAGGATATTACATGCGTAAGAAATGCCCTTCTCCCCCAACATCTCAAGAGCCAAATAACCCTCATATCTACCATGAAATTCTCAAGGAAATCAAAGCTGAAAATATTCAACAGATTTACAGGTATGTACGTTGACATGTTTTTGTTTAAATGCAATTGCGTGCCAATGTTAAGACTTCTTGTGATTTGTTTGTGATACAATCTTATTTACAAACCTTGACTTTTTCTTCGTCTTCAGTTTTCTCATGATGCTAGGGAAGCTTTCATAAACATATGTGAAACTAAAGTAATTTTTAGCAATGTGGATTTGTGTTAGTCATTATAGTTTTTGCTTTAATAACGTTCTGTTGCTGAATATATTAATACTAGCTTTAATGCATATGAATTGAAAAACATGATAATTCAAAGTGAATAGAAATACAGATGATAGACTAGCTGTCCTAGATATCCAGTTGATTGTCAAATAACACCATTGAAAAGATAGATTTTAGATGGTGTTTTGTAATATTTGGTGCTTTAAGAAATCCCCATCTAACCTCTGGCAAATAATTGAATCCTGGCTTTAGTCTGCATGGGTTTAGGATGGAGAAATTGACCTCTGAACTCCGAAAGACTGTGATTTTTTTTTTTTTTTTTTTTTCCTTTAGTACCTGTTTTGTGAATATAGAATGTTGTAAAATATCTACTGTCTGGCTTTGAGTTTAATTTTTTTTTCCATGTGGAATCTTTTCACTGCTTTGAAAGTTTATATAACACATTCGTATCAGAGTATAATCACTTTTCTGTAGCAGTGAATGTGGAAGAAACTAGGTTTTCCTGCCAACTTTTGAAAGCTATTTCTGTATGAGGGGAAAGATGAGCTTACTTCTGGCTTCTGGAACTGCAAGTTCCTTTTTCATGATAAAGGAAATGCATTGCAGATTTTTTGATTGATACCAGTTCAGAAGCAGCAGAACTTCCATACCTGAGGTTAGAAAGGATTATTATCGTGGGCATCCAAAGAATTGTTCTTGAGTAGATCAGAAATATGTTGAAAGTAACCACAGATGTCTTCTAACATAATTTGTCTTTTATTATTCTTGCTAAACCAAGCCTGAAGTCCTGAAGTGGTTAGTACCATGTTCTGAGCTGACGCTGTTACTAAATTCAAGGTTAAAAATAGATATGAAGGATTTCGTGTCAGTTTTCATGTGCTGAACTGACTCTACTTTATACATATCTAATAATTTTCATAATGGGAAAGGGTATAGGTGATGAAAAATGTTGATTCTGAATGATAAAAAATTAACTTCTTTGTCTTTTCAGAGTAAATTGAACTGAATTCTGTCATTAGGCTTAGTCACGAACAAAGTACTGGAATAAGCTAAGCCCTACTAGTTGGATATTACACAAGTTACAGCAAATTGCAGAGAAGTCTGTCCATCTCAGGATAATACTCCAATACTTTGTGTTTGGGGACTGGGAATCGCTTGTCCTTTTATTATTTCAAAGGGTGGTTTACAAACATCCCTTTTCAAACTTATTTCAGGTAGCTATTAGGATATTAGTGAGAAGCTGGACTTTAGGTAAAATGAATTATATGAATACTTTGGAACTTAAAAAACTTATGTAGTTGCTATCCTTTAACATAAATCTTAGCATTTGGTAATTTTTTTCTGCGTAATACCATGTTTTCACCAAGTGTAGTCGAGCATTAATTCAGCTACCAATTGATTTTGTATGTAAGTACATAATCAATGCTTTTAGCATACTGCATTACCCACAAGATTTTTCTTAGCCCAACATTTTGATCTGAGACAGCTTTTTATCCCATGTTGTGTTAAGTTGCTTTCCCTCAACATCTGTTTGGCAAGAGTCAGAGCTACTGCAATGAAACCTGCGTATACGTAGCCCCACAAATATAGAACACGCAACATATGTTCCTTGGGAAAAAAAAAGCCCAAACCTGACAAAATCAATATATGTTATTGTAAGACTTCTTTCAATATAATATACTTTGAGTTACTAGGAGTAAGTGGCAGCTGCTTAGCTTGCAATTTCTAAATGTTACTGAGAATGATGTTAATTTAATTTTCTTAGCTTACTACTTAGATCAAACTCAATAGTGGTAAGGGATTTTGCTAACAGTCCTGATAAAGAACTTGAAAGAAAAAGATGTGTAAAAGACAGAGCAGTGCCAGTTATCTTGCCCAAGCAGACATCACCTTAATGTGCTTGGTGGTCTGGAGTGGGAATTTCTTACTGGGATGAAATCTGCTGTGGTCAGATGAAGCTTTGAGGATTGGGACCCTCTGGGCTTCTAAAGAGGTTGCAAAGTGCACCAGGGGACTTGTGTTGCTTTTGTTGGGATTTGGACTGGATTCTGCGCGAGTTGAATAAAGCCTCTCTACCAATCTGTGTTAGGAATGGAGGTTCATGTAGGATAACAGCAGTTTGTGTGCACGGGTTGCTGAAACGGGAGATGCAGGTGTTCCTCTCCAGCTTCTCCGCTGGAGGCTTTTGGTGAGAGCTCATGTGCCACTCTTCTGTCAGTCCCATACTGGCCTTCTGCGTCAGCCAGGTCTGTGTTGAGCATTTTTCCCAGCAGACATACTAGAAATCATTAGATAAGAAAAGTCACTGTGTTGGCTTTTATCCCTTCACCTTTGCACCTTGCTTCCTGCTAAATGTCAATGCTACAGAAATTCAGTGCAGTTTAGCATGGTTGTAATTACTGGCCTTGGCAAGTTATCTAATTAATGATACAGTCTAGGTAAAGATTATCTCTGTAAGCTTTTCTGAACATCCCCACCCCCTATAGAGAAGTGTTTACAGTGTTGACAATAAAAGTAGAAATCCGTTTACTCCTGACATTTCAGAGGTTTCAAGAGGACTTAAGTTGTCAGAGGTGCCTGAAAGGGGGAAAGAAGTCACCACAAAAAATCGAAGAGTTTTCCTTACCCCCTTACCCTGCATGTTGCATTTTACATGCTGACAAAAATTAGGACAAATATTGTTAATAGTATTCAATCAGTAAATGTAACATTTTAAGAGTGTTAATGCGAAATTTGCTCAGATATAAATATTTATAAGCGAAACAACCTGCTCCGTAGTACAGGCAGAGTTAGAACTGATAAAACCAGACATCATTCTGCAAACATCACTGAGCTGGTAGGAATCTAGTAGCATTACATCTGTTTGTGCCATGAATATGACTTTTCTTCAGTTTTCTTTTGGAAGAGACATGAAAAGGTTTTAGTTTAAGTTTGGTGTAACTTAGCTCCCAGAAGCCTTCAAGGTGAGTATGAAAAGGGCATAAATCTCACATGCAAAAGAGACCAAGAAGAAGCTGAGATACAGAATACCTCGGGCAGTGTTTAAAATTATATCTGTAACCATCAGAACTTACCAAGGCAACACAGATGGACAAAGCTGGTAAAACTTACAGACTGAAAATTGGCACTCTCATGGGACAGCTCGATTGAGACTCCATGGCAGGACTGAATTCTCAGAGCCCTTTTAGAGAGAGCATGTCAAGAGGGCAAAGCTGGAGAGTAGTCATCTGTGCTTTTAGCCCACGGTCTTGCTCCCTGAGGAATATGTCTGCACCTTCGAAATATAATTGTTAGAATAAGATGAGTCCTGTTTTCAAAACTGATGAATGTGTTTCGATGTGGAAGTCTCTGAAGTTTATAATGAATGCTTAGGGTCGTAAGAGGCGCAGACTTTCAAAAACACAGAAACACCCAGCAATTTTGCTAAGCACATTCTTGAATTCTCAAAAGTAAAGCAGCCTGATTTTCACTGAAAACTGACATTTTTAAGCTACTTCTTAAAACAGGATAAAGATTTCTAATATCACTTAAGTGCTTATGAAAATTCAGCTGGTTTTTCCTTCTTGCTGTGTATAAAAAGGGGGATGCTGAAGAAGTGTGTCTTTATCCTATTGCTGTGCATCTGCCAGATGCAGGTTAGCTACTCAATAGTCGTTACCACATAACTGATTTATTCAGCAGATGTATGTTGATAATGAGTGGATTGATTTTTATTCCTCACCTCCTCCCGCCCCCTTAAAGTTGAATTTGCCATTTCTGCTGTATAGTGTCCGCTTTGCCTCCTGGGTGATATTTTTTTTTTTCCCTTGCTCTGCCTACCTTCAGGAAGAAGACAAGGGAAAAAAATCTGAGGCACCCTGGTCTGGAGTTAGAGGGTGCATTGTCACTGACTTCAAGGTTACTGTCACTAGCTGCCAAGGTTTCGGTCATCGTATATGTTGCTAAGCTTTTACGTTTTAGAATGGTAAACATTTGAGTTTTGTGCAGACTTAACTTTGGTGAATGTTTTCAGTTAAGGTTTGAGTTGAATGTTATTAACAAAATCTATAGAGACAAGACAAAGCACAAAAAGTAGCAAAAATACAGTCTCATCAAAGACCTCTAAGATTATAATAACTACTGCTATCCAATTTGGCGTCTTTTTCTGTATTGTATTGCATATTTAACAGTGCCAAGCATTTCAATAGAGGAAATATGAAAGGTGGTAATTTTATTTTGTATGAAATTCTTTCAATTTTGTTGCTCCAAAACCAGATAAAAGTGAAACAATCCTAATTTTTTTGGAAAATATGGGGCTATCATAATTTTTTAGGAAGTTGTAGTTTTGGGGTTGACTTCTGTAAAATAAATCGATAAACAAAGATTCATGTTGAATAGTAAGAGTAAAGAAAAATGGACAGTTGTGTTGATGTTGATGATAACTCTAGCTATACTTTGTCAGATTAGTTAATTCTTTCAAATATTATTTTTAAAATTCTTATGGCATTATTCTGCTTTACTCTGTAATTCCTTTCAACAATCGTATGTCTTGGTTACTATCAGATTCACGGTCCTCCTGAGTACATTTTTCCATTATTAAGACTGGGGGGGCCACACACAGAAGAGTCTTTGCTTTGCTCTTCATCCAATCTATAGAGCTGCTCCTACATTTCAACTCTGCTTTTCATCCCATATATTCTCGCTCAAATGCTTTCTTCACTATCATTTTTTCTCTCCCCTCGAGCAATAGGGAGGTTTAAATCCCTTCGTAATACATCTAGTTGTAACTAACTGTCCTTTGGAGGCATATCTGTTCCTTCTTCCAGCTG